GTGGAAACTGTGGTTCCTAAGTATTTGTAATCCAAAATTTGCCTCGCATTTCAGGATGAAAAGACAAACATTTCAGGTGAAGGATGATCCACTTCTTACCTCCAAGACTGTGTTATGATCTATGTGACCTTATTATTTTTATTGTGAGTATTAGGCTTATCATTATTGATGATCACTGTTGATATGCTATATTTTTACTATAAAACTCTTACGACAAACATGTCTTCACATATCTTCAATTGTTGCGTATACCGAGCTGAAGCGGACACATTTGTAAACAACTTTATTTGGACCCATTGCGCGAGCTGTCTCTTTAATACCGCGTGGTTTATATAAATGTTGCTGCTGATTGGGCAAACATTTTTGACACACCCACCAAACAAAGAAAAAGTTTCTCAAACCCTGTTGCACACCGTTTCCAGGAAACATGTCGTCAGTGTTGCCAGATGTACGATAATTATCGTATTTGTACGATAATTTTGACCTCTGTACGATCAATAATGAAAAAAATCTCATAATGTACGATAATTTCAGAATTTTGTGACACTTCAATCGGAGGTCATTTCTCGGTTAATACTCATCGATCTACTGTGGATCTACGTCATGATTGTGAGGAGAAAGTGAAGGTGAGAGCACGGTAGAGAGGGAGAGAGCGAGAGACCCTGCGTTATGAACCCCACATCCCCCCAGCCCCGTCAACAATCCAGTCAACCTCACTTGTCTAAGCTGTTTTCTGTCCGTTTGACTCGTGTACGATAATTTTCTTCCAAATACGATAATTTTGAGCTTCTGGTACGATACTTGGATATTTCCAATCTGGCAACACTGCATGTCGTTCAACCCGGAAATCGTAGCAAACGTTGTGCGGTTTGAGCTTGAACATGCCCCAGGTACTGAGGGTGTGATGGCTGGTGGGGAAGATTCCTGTGACACATACTGTACATACATACATGTGTTTATATTATAATAATATTTTTGTTTTATGCTTTTCGCAGAGCTTAAAAATCATAAAATATGAACATTTACATTAAGAAAATATCCAAACACAGAGCAAAATACACATGATTTAAATTACAAACCATTTTTATTGTGTGAAAATGATTTATTTAATATTTTACACAGATTACTATACTGTCCCTTGTTGAGGCATAATACCACAATCAACAATTCTGTGCAACAAGTGCAAAAATATGATTACATTTAGGATACAAAATGAAAGTAGCCTTAACAGTTGATCTTTTTTTCTTTAAGTTTGTGATGTTTCAGGGAAAAAAATCAGATGTTATATAAACATTTTATATTATTTATATAAAAATCACAGGAGAATGGGACATTGATAGTGTACAAATGAAATGTGTAATTATGAAGAGTGTGTTTAAAGAGAGTTTATTTTGTGTCCACAGCAAAAGTGCCCATATTTGTAGAAACACATAAATATTTTGGAAGGATGGAACATTATTTGTTTGTCTTCATCAAATGTATGGATAAAGTGGAATTCAGTTCATTGTTAATTTAACACCACATTGATCACCATTACACCTGATGGTTCATCTACTATATATTACTATTCAAAGGTCTACAAATATTCTAGAAATTTTATATATTTAAATACAACTGTTGTGGTACCACTGTGACAACTGAATACTACTAATACTACTATTAATAATGATAATAATAATACAAATAATAATAATTATATTTGTTGATAGGCTTTGATAATCTTAGCTGACTTTTGGCTGACTCACCCAAGAAAGTCTCGGCTACTATTGTAACCTTCGTTCCTTGAGGGAGGGAACAAGACCTACTAGGGTGTCGCACTTGTGAGTCCCAAACACCTCTGATACTTTGCAAAAAGGCCAATGAGAATTGGTGAGTGGAATTTGCATGCCATGCACTCCCCTGGACATACGGATATAAAAGGCAGACGACATGCATCACTCATTCAGGTTTATGCTGAGGAGCCAAGACAGTGTCCCATTTCATTGGGCAGTTTAGAGTTGTGCCAAGAGGGACTCCACGTCTCGTTCCCTCCATCAGGGAACAAAGGATACAATAGTAACCGAGATGTTCAGTCAGTCACTTCGGCGTGGTGTAGATGACTGACATTATGGGTCTCCTGGGGAAACGCTACAACACCTGAACCGTGTTACGAGGTTTTGGCGGTGCGGATGCAGGTGACAAGTGTACTTGCAACATTATAACCTACCCAACACCCCACGCAAGCTGTGTAGTCCTTCGTAACACGGGACTCTCACAGCTGTGCAGACCAGAATCAGCGCTGGGGAGTGTTCATTCTCCTAGATAGGAGAAACAACACTACGAAATGTGGTCTTCTGCCCTAAGAGAGTTTAATATGTGGAGAATACATCACATGGACTTACCAACCAGGAAGTACCACATGTGGAAAGAGGTCCCTGTGGTCTTAACAGAAAAGGAAGGAACTACTACAAACACAACAACTGGCGGCAGAGATTAACCTTTGCCAAGGGGAAGACACAGGTTTACTGTAAGGGAAACCGTATCGTGGACAATACATCATATGGGATTACCATCAGGGAATCACTATATATGGAGCACCTAGCCCAAGTATACGGGCAGACCTAAAAGGACATGCATCACGAGTACTGGGCCTGGCATCGAATTGATGTGCCACTGTAGAGTCCTCAAGTCCTCATCAGTGTAGCCAAAGAGGTCACCTTGTGAGGGGGGGCGTTAAGAAAGTGAACTTTGTCGACCTCCCTCACCTCAGCAAGGTTAAGCCAGAGATTGCGCTCCTGGACCACTATGTTGGACAACACCTGGCCCAGAGCCTGCGCCGTAACCTTCGTTGTTTGGAAAGCACAGTTCCTGCATCAGTCCCGGCTCAGAACTACCCTCGTGCAGCTCTTTTAGAGCTTTGGCCTGATGGATCTGCCGGATGGCCATGGCATGCAGGGCGGAGGTGGCTTGTCCAGCAGCACTGTAAACCTTCGCCATTAAAGACAAAGTGAACTTACAGGCCCTGGGTGAGAGTCTGGGAGGATTCCACCAGCTAGCAGCATTTTGTGGGCATAAATGCACAGCAACCGCACACTCCACCTGTGGAACATCCGTATACACCCCGAACCCAGAAACCAATCATCCAGCTGTGGCAGTCCAGAAAAGCATGGCTGCCAACTCTGCATAAGACTCAGACTGAGCTACTGCACCCGAGGGTGGAAGTCCAGCCGAGTCCTGTCGATAGTTGTTCCTCATCCAGAGCCCCGAATGAGAAATCAGGTGTGCCATGTGACACACCATCAAAGTAATCCAGGAGCAACAACGGTTGCAATGCTGCAGCCTTGTTCATCGCAGAAGGACCTGGACAAGCAACTGAGGTGACTCTCTCTGTAACCAGAAAAGAGAGTCACGATGGCAACGCTGCCATGGTAATGTTCTCGCAATGAGGACATGAGCCATCCACGAAAGCTGTCACAGCGTGTTTTCACAAAGACACGCGACGCAAAGATCATAGCTGTCCGAAGACGAGAGATATCGGCCGCAACCAGAAACACTAACCCTAACCGTCACACCAGCAATTCACTTCCTTTCCATAGGATAAATGGATTGAGCTTCTGTATAGATGACACTCACTCGGCTCCCCAGCACAAACCTGAATGAGTGATACACGACTGAATTTGGTGCATGTGTCAATGATCTAAAGAATGTAATGAAGGTACATTTTCAGCAGGTGCCTCAAACAACCCAACCTCAGTTTCATTTAATCTCTTACATCACATCTCTACACTAAAGTGGTTTCTGTAAGCTGTTGAACTATTTACTAAATATGAGGTTACATTAACTTTTTACATCAGTGACCTTGGGAGTTTATGAACTAAATGCATGCCAGTTAAATGTTGTGTGTTGTTTGTTGACTAATGATGTTACATTACAATTACAATTACAGTTCACAATTAAGGGGGCATTTTGTTGTAATAACACATTCTTCTTATCAATGTACAAATCTAAATACAATAATTTATGGCATTATATAGTGTTGCCTCATGCGGTAACATGCATAAAAATATAAAAAGAACAGATTGTAGCAGTTATTGCAAACCAATTGCATTGTGTAAAATTTCATAAAATAATATATAAGGTATAAAATAACTATTTTTATAATTAAGTTAATACTTATTATAATAGTATAATTAAAGCTCCAGTCCGTAACTTTTTTGGGTTCAAAATTATCCAAAATAAATTTTTGAGCATAACCAGCCAGTGTTCAAAACTATCTGCTTGCCTTAGCTCGATTCAAAACTGTAAGCTTGTAATAATGTTTTTAATTCCAGTGGTACTGGTGGATTTCCGCGGGAAATTCGAGCATGTCTTTGCGTCATTACGTCAGGCTATTGCGTCAGGCACTTGATATAATTAAACTTATTAATTTGATGGCGGATCCAGTAAGGTTCAAACGACAATCACCAGTAACAACTGGAGATTCACCCATAGTAAAATGCAAACGACTTTGGACTTCTGAGTGGCTACGGAAAAAAAGAGACTGCAACTGGACCCATGCAAAAACAAGGATAAATATCTGAAGGGCATTAAATGTAGTCACGCAATGCTGATGTTGTTAACATTAACAATTTGAGAACAAAGTATAATTTGCACGGTTTGACGTGATATGATAAGCGATCGTTAGATTTAATCAGCGCGATTTACTGCAATGCTTTTTTTCCCTTAGTTGGTCAGAACAAAAGTGGATGTTACTTACTTGACATTTTCCGGTAAAAATTCTTATGTTGGTCATACTTCCAAAAAGTAGAATCTGTGATTCTGAATGACAGTATCCCCACCGGCACGGCGACTGACAGCCGCACATTCTCCTCAAAACATTGGATTCATCAGCGCTGTGCCGTGCCGAGGCACAACCCACGTAAAGTTGATAATTCCGCGAATAACTGCAATTCCAGATTTCGAACAGAGATGGCGACAAAGAGGAAAACTGGTGTGCGGACTACGGACTGCAGCTTTAAGTATTTTTAAAAGTAATTATTTTATTATTTTACTTTTTTCTTAAATTTTTCACAAACTTCAAATTTTATTTCCAATTTGGACCTCCTGAACAGTGCTTGTTTTGGCCTGTTACAATTAATATATTTCTTGCACTTCATCTCGTATTAGGAAGAATTCATCAATGTAGTCTTACCATGATATTGAATATATTTAAGCCTACAACACAACACAATCAGTAGCTATGGTGAATAAATCAAAAACATCATTAAAACTTACTTGCTAAACTAATAAAGCACATGTGAAATATTATAGGAAAAATTGTAATAGAGAATATAACAGAGGTAAGCGGTCGCTGCTTTTGAATTCTACCAAGAGCAGTCATGTGCGATTCAGAACAGGCTGAAAAAAAGTGATCTGTAGTGGGAACTTTTTGTCTTGGTTATTATTGCGAAAAGACAAAAGGACACAGAAAAAACAGAGCTCCAGATGTTATTGTAGAGGCTGTGATGAGTGCTGATCATATCGATGTTTGTGGTTGTCATCAGGGGAGAACATACGTAGGTAAGAAAAAAGTAATTGGCATGTTAATAATCTGGCACACAATAAATCACATTTCTCATTGATCAGTCTGACTATTATTTCTGATGTATATTCCTGATGTCAAAGCTAGATTATTTGTTATGATAAACAAAATAAATAAATATATGACAATGTCTAATTTACTCAAGTCATTAGAAAGCATAAAGTTTGTTTTTACAAAACATAGCATAAAAAACACCATTAAGACCAACATATAAATAACAATATCTCTATGTTTAATGTTACCTTTTGTTCTTTATACGATATAGTTCAGACCGCCGGCAACAAATCAATGGTTTATATGAGCATCATTCCTAGAAAGGAAAAGAGAAACTGGGTGATGCTGACATGATAGATATCTTGGAAAGAAATGACATGGAGACTAACAACAAAAGGAATGATATAGTGCACTATTTTTAATATTGAATATGGACTATATTGTAATATTATATCATATCATGTATTTATTTATTTGTTTATTTTTATAATTCAGATTGAGTGATCAGTCTACAGCTAAGCTCAAACACACAGTATATAAATATCTATGAATGTTCACCTAACTATGTGTATCTCACTGTGCAGAAAATATATCTGGGATTACATTTTTATGATATTGCACTATTTCTAGGTCAATAATCAAATTTGTGGCACTGACCATGTGAACTCAAAAGTTTCCGTTCTTGCACTGAAAAACTCAAGATGTGGTCCCAGTTTATATTATATGTCTTTAACTACTATGTACTTACATTAAAAACTGTAGTACTCTGCCCTGCATGCCATGGCCCTCCTGCAAGTATACCAGGCCAAGGCACTCAAAGAGCTGCATGAGGGTAGTTCTGACCCTGTCAAGTTTGGACTCTGTCAACCTGACTGTGGCGGGAGGGGGGTGGTTTTGCAAAATCTGTAGCGGGAGAGAGAGAATGGAGCCGAGCGGTGAGTAAGTAGCTAATTGCCGTAATTGGCGTCGAGAGATCGCATATAAGCCCGCAGGAACGAGAGAGAGAGAGAGAGAGGACTGGGACTGGGACTCGTACTCTGCCAGCGGAAAGAGTATTCATCTGAATGGTAAGAGTTTGAGAGCTGATCTGAGCGGAAAGAGTTTTCATCTGAATGGGAAGAGTTTGAGAGCTGATCTGAGCGGAAAGAGTGTAATTTGCATCATTGTTGTTATTGTTGCTATAGCGAGGCTATGGTGAATGCGCTGTGTGCGCGCCTTTTTGTTTATCTTTGTTTTATGAGAAAGTAAAGCTACGAGTCCCAGTCACACCGACCCTGTCTTCTTCCTTCCTTCTACACGTTGAACCTTGCTACACTGGTGCCGAAACCCGGGAAGGAAGAAGATCGCCGCCGCCATGCAGTCTCTGCCAGGAACGCCATTTGCGGACATCATCCAGTCGCTCGCCGGTCTGCACCAGGAACACCATCAAGCCCTGCTGGCCGTAAAGGAGGAACAGGACCAGCGCTTCGAGACGCTCCTCCGAGGCCAGCAGGCAGACCGCGAGCTGTTCCGGAGCTGGATAGCCTGGGAGGTTCGGCCCGTCCCCTCGCCAGATATGGTCTCGGCCCCGCCCCTACCTCTCAACAAAATGGGGGCCCAGGATGATCCGGAGGCCTTCCTGGACCTGTTCAAGAGGTCTGCCGAGGCCCGGGGATGGCCCCCTGCGGACTGGCCAATGCGGCTGATCCCACTGCTGTCCAGGGAGGCACAGGTGGCCGCACACCAACTGCCAGTCCAGAACCTCCTGGTCTATGAAGACCTCAAGCGTGCCATCCTCCAGCGGGTCGGCCGGACCCCAGAACAACATTGCCAGTGGTTCAGGTCACTGGGCCTCGAAGAGTCTGGCCGGACCTTCGTGATGGCACAACAGCTCCAGGGTGTCACAGCTCGAGTGTCACCCACTCCACCTCACCAGCCGCACAGCCACTCTCTCCACGTAAAAATCCTTGATCCGCTTCCTCCCACTGGGGTGGTGGGGAGGCCTGAGCCGGCCTGCTGGCATTGTGGGGACCCAGGGCACTTTATCGATCGGTGTCCGGTGATGGAGGTGGGGACACTGATCCGGGTCCCCGACGCGCCACAGGCTGCCCCCGATCAAGCTGGCCTGTACCAAATACCCGTGAGTATCAAGGGGGTTACATATCAGGCTTTGGTGGATTCAGGTTGTAACCAGACCTCTATTCATCAAAGCTTGATTCAACCTGGGGCATTGGATAATAGCCACATGGTTAAGGTACGGTGTGTGCACATGGAGGTGGTAGATTACCCGGTCTTGCCAGTGGAAATTCAATTTAGGGGTCAAAAGCATAGAGTAGAGGTGGCAGTTAACCCGCACCTCCGGCATCTGCTAATTTTGGGGACTAATTGGCCAGCCTTTAATAAATTATTGGGGTGTTTGTGTGCGGATGCCTCTTGGGCGAAGAGAGACAAAAGGAAGGCGGCGGTTGCTCAGGTGGGAGAAGCTGAGCCGGGACGTCTGGCACCTGATTCAGGGGAACAAATCGCTCTGGAGAGAATCATTCTCACAGAGCACGATGATTTTCCCCTGGAGCAGTCCCAGGATGATACGCTGAAACATGCATTTGATCAGGTCCGCTCTATCGGCGGCCAGCTACTCCACCCAGACCAACCGCTCTCCTATCCCTATTTTACAATTATAAAAGATAAGTTGTATCGGGTGACCCAAGACGCCCAGTCAAAGCAGGATACAACTCAGTTATTGATACCAAAAAGCCGCCGGGAAATGCTTCTTCATTGTAATCCAATGGCCGGGCGTTTAGGACAAACAGCTACACTAAACCGTCTCATGGCCCAGTTCTTCTGGCCGTGAATGTCAGTTGGTGAATCCACCGGCCAATCCAAAAGCACCTTTGTGCCCACTTCCCTTAATGCAGGTCCCCTTCGAGCGAATTGGCATGGACCTCATCGGGCCATTAGAACGGTCTGCACGGGGGCACCGCTTTGCTTTGGATTGCTTTGCTGGTGGATTATACAACGAGGTACCCCGAAGCAGTGCCGCTCTGCAGTATTTCCACTAAAAGCGCTGCGGGCGCACTGTTTCAACTAATCTCCCGGGTGGGAATCCCGAAAGAGATTCTCACCGATCAAGGCACGGCGTTTATGTCACGAACCATCCGCGAACTTTACGAATTATTGGGCATTAAATCGATTCGCACCAGCGTCCACCACCCACAAACAGACGGCCTGGTCGAACGATTTAATCGCACGTTGAAAACCATGATTCGAAAGTTCGTACGGTAAGATGCCAAAAATTGGGATAAATGGCTAGAACCCCTCTTGTTCGCGGTACGCGAGGTCTCCCAAGCCTCCACGGGGTTTTCCCCCTTCGAGCTCCTCTATGGACGCCAGCCCCGCGTGGTTTTGGATGTCCTTAGGGAGACTTGGGAGGACAGACCTTCGTCTAGCAAAAATGAAATTCAGTATGTCCTGGACCTGAGAACAAACTCCACACTTTGGGGCGGCTATCAATGGAGAATTTGTTACAGGCCCAGGACAAGCAGAGTCGGCTGTACAACAGGGGGGCTAGACTTCGTCAATTTGCACCGGGAGATAAAGTGCTTGTATTGCTCCCTACTTCTAATTCAAAATTACTTGCGAAGTGGCAAGGACCCTTTGAGGTCACGCGGCGAATTGGGGATCTCAACTATGAGGTAGTCCGAACAGATAGGGACGGGGCACATCAAATTTATCATCTCAACCTCCTAAAAAAATGGTCTGAGGCAGAATCAGTGATGCTGGCGATGGTGGTGAGCGGAGAGGAGGATCTCGGTCCAGAAGCGAGCCTAAAAACTCAATCTCTCGCCCTGGCCCCTAGTGGAGACCACCTCTCACCCTCCCAGCTCATTGATGTAAAAAGGTTACAAGCAGAGTTTGCTGATGTGTTCTCGCCCCTGCCTGGTCGGACCTCTACCTCATTCAGCACCACGTTGAGACAGATCCGGGCGTGGTCGTACGCAGCCGGCCGTATCGCTTGCCTGAACACAAATAAAAAGTAGTTCAGAGCGAATTAGAGGCAATGCTAGACATGCGAGTAATAGAAGAATCCAACAGTGAATGGGCGAGCCCGATAGTTTTAGTACCTAAAACTGACGGCTCGGTCCGGTTCTGTGTGGACTATCGAAAGGTGAATGCTGTGTCGAAATTCGACGCTTATCCAATGCCAAGGGTTGACGAATTGCTTGATCGGCACTGGACTTAACAAAGGGATATTGGCAGATCCCCTTGTCTCCCATGTCCAAAGAAAAGACAGCTTGTCACTCTTCCTTTCGGCTTGTTCAGGGCTCCGGCGACCCTTCAGCGTCTGATGGACAGGATTCTTCGGCCGCATGCTGCATATGCCGCTGCCTACTTGGATGATATCATCATCTATAGTGGCGACTGGCAGCGTCATATGCAGCAGTTGCGGGCTGTCCTGAAGACGCTGAGAAGGGCTCACTGCCAAACCGAAGAAGTGTGCAATTGGGCGTGTGGAAGTTAGATATCTGGGCTTCCACTTGGGTCATGGACAGGTGCGTCCCCAAATTGACAAGACGGCAGCAGTTGCGACCTGTCCGAGACCCAAGACCAAAAAGGAAGTTAGACAGTTCCGCTGACTGATCTAACAAAAAAGGAGGTACCAGATACGGTCCGGTGGACGGAGCAGTGTCAGCAGGCTTTTACTCAGATAAAGGCTGCTCTGTGTGGCGGACCGCTCTTGCATGCTCCTGACTTTTCTTTCCCCTTTATTCTACAGACGGACGCGTCGGACAGAGGGCTGGGCGCGGTCCTGTCCCAGGAGGTGGGGGGTGAGGAGCGGCCGGTGCTGTACATCAGTCGTAAGCTCTCTAAGAGGGAGACGATGTAAGCTCTCTAAGAGGGAGGCTGCAGGCCGGATGGCTCCCCGGCCTGAGTCGGGCGGTGGGGGTATGTGGTGGGAGGGGCGTGGTTTTGCAAAATCTGTAGCGGGAGAGAGAGAACGGAGCCGAGCGGTGAGTAAGTAGGTCAAGTGCAGATGATGAACACTTGTGTCTGATTGCAGTAATTGGCGTGGAGAGATCGCATATAATCCCGCGGGAATGAGAGAGAGAGAGAGAAGGACTGGGACTCGTACACTGCCAGCGGAAAGAGTATTCATCTGAATGGGAAGAGTTTGAGAGCTGATCTGAGCGGAAAGAGGATTCATCTGAATGGGAAGAGTTTGAGAGCTGATCTGAGCGGAAGGAGTGTTATTTGCGTAATTGTTGTTATTGTTGCTATAGCGAGGCCATGGTGAATGCGCTGTATGCGCGCTTTTTTTTTTATCTTTGTTTTTTGAGA